CCCCAAAACCCCAAAACCCCAAAACCCCAAAACCCCTTATTACAGTTATTTTTTTTTTAATTATTTGACATAATAAATTAATCGTTAAATTTAATTAAACAAAATGAAGGCATCTTAGTTTATATAAAGGAAATATGTTTAATCCCAGGAATAAAGTCCTTACTAACTTAATATCTCACATTTCAAGCGTCCAATTTCTCAAGATAGTCAAAATACTTCTAAAAATTAATATGATAATGATGATGACGGAATCAGCGACTAATTTAATCGTTCTAGAATTCTTAAGCTATAGCAAGTTGAAGTGAATCTGGATCAGAGCATAAACAAGTAAATAGCTTTAAAGCATTAATAGGTTTATCTTGATCCTTCGATGTCATCTCTAGAGCAAGAAAATAAAGTAAACTGTTTTACTGATGAAAGTTACATTAACACAGAAATATAAGATGACTCGCTGGCAGATCTCGATAAAATTCTGAATAATTAAGATTTTAAGAGGCCACCACATTTAAGACTAGAGTACAATGAAAGCTTTGTAAACCACATATAACCTTCAATAGATTAAAACTTCCCTTAAAGTAAGCAAACTTCTAAATGGGCTGATATTTTGAAAGACTCAGAAAAAAATCTTCCTGAATTCATTGATTCAAGAAATGATATTATATACAATAAAAAGAGTAGCACTTTAGAATCTCATATTAGTCACAATAATACTAGAAATATGAGCGTCATATTAGGATAGAGATTTAAAAATGAAGATCCAGATAATGACAAAGATCGTGTTGATCAAAAACTTACCTATCACACCAAGAATAATTCAATCGCTAGATAGATTTTACTAGGAAGTACTAACAAAGATAAATCAGAATTTATAAGTCCTAATATTAAGCATCCAGTAAACCAAAAAAATTCACCAGTAAAGCAGAGTCATTAAAAATAGGAAAGTGATTAAAGCTAGCTTAATTGTTAATCCTTTAGTTTCGAGAATTAGGTTAGGCTACGATAGAATTTACACAAAGAAAACTTAGCATAGCCTATTTATTAGCCTTATCAATCAAATATATCCTAAAATTCATTCCAAGTTATTAATCATATCGAATAAACTAGTAAACCATAAACAAGGCATTAGTCACTATAAAGTCGAAGTATATTAGAGTGCTAAAGTGAAGAAAATAAAAATAGAAGGGATGATCTTAAATAGAGAATTGAGTCACTAAAGTCTACACTGGATTCGTGCTTTCTTTAGCAAGAACTATAAGGATCTAGCTTCATAAATATTTCAAAGTAGGCCATTGATAATGCACTTAATATATCTTCAAGTAATGAGTCAATAGCCTACACAAATAAAAAGACGTTACTCTAAAATCGTAACACTATTCCAGTTGCCAATGTAGAAAGTCCATCCATTAATATCTATAATGTTCTAAAAGAAAACAAAAATATTGGAAATAAACCAAAAATGTTGAAGCCTAGAAAATCGATAAATCAAAGTATATAAAAGTAAGTGCCTTAGCAGAAAAGTGTACTTCAGAATCTTCAAAACATCGAAGATGTGAGTCATTTAAGATTAGAGATATTGAATCTTAACAGAGAGGTACTGGAGAAGGAATAAATAATGATAGAAAAAGACAAGACTATTAGAGAGCTAAGAGAGAATTTAGAAATATCACAAAAATAAAATAGTTAGCTAGAGAGGAAAGTGAAATGGTATTTAGAATAGGTATAAAAATTTGAGGATTTATTAAAGCATAAGAATGTTTAAAGCCAGTAAAAATCAATTAATCAGGACTTTGTTAAAGCGTAAGAATAGAAAATTAAGATTCAAGAGGATAAAATTCTAGAGTTGACAAACAAGTTAGAGAAGATGTAATATGAATAAGAATTAGAGTAAAATGATAAAAATAAAGCCCCTATCGAGTTTTCTATTCCATTTAATTAGAGATTGGAAAAGATTAAATCAAATACTCATAGCTAGACAAGTCTAGTTTCTCAAATATAATCAATAATGACTCCAGTTAATAATAGATCAGGGCAATAAACTGAAATGCGGTTTTTTAGTGATATAAGATAAAATCCACATCATCAATACAATAAAAACACCTACTCAAGTCAAGGTTATGATAGTTAAATGTATTAACAGAACTAAAATGTGTAAAGACAAAATGGACATTTAAGATGCATAAGCCAACCTATCTAGATTTATTAAATTGAGCCATCACATATTAACTAGACTCTTAGCTCTAATAGAAGTAATAATCAATATAGCACAACAAGTAGTCAGTAAAAACGTTTAATTTGGAATAAGGTTACCACTTATAATCAAGAAATCTCAAATTTAGCAAACAATAAAAGAAATTATAGCAATAACGCTACAAATAACATCAATAAGATGCAAACACACAAAAATATCTATGAAGAAAGAAGTGCTGAAAGGAGTCCTAATACTCTTCTTAATAAGACTAATATCTTGGTTCCTAGAATAAACTATTGAGGAAAAAAACATAATAAAATATAAATAAGCCAAATATTATAAAGCTGCTATTATTAAAATTTTCAATATCACATTTACTGTTAATAATAATTTTATGGGGTTTTGGGGTTTTGGGGTTTTGGGG